TCAAAGAAAAGAAAATATGAGTGAGAACCTGGAAACACACTTATTTTAAAAAAGAAAAAAAAAAAAAGGGAAAAAAAACAACCCAAACTGAAATCCTGTGTATGTTGTGTCTGTTACAAATGTCCTAGAAGAAATTATGCAGCTAATCAGTGAATAAGTCCATCTGGAGTATTGGTTTGAAGATGACTCCTTCTGATACTTTCACAACAAATGGACAGTGTTGAACTCAAACCTTACTTCTTGGTAACAAAGCCTGAAGGAAGGAAATGAAACCACATCTAAAGGAAAAGGCATTGATAACTGCAAATGTTTGCGTCCTTTTGTTTTTAAGAGATATGATGTGAGAATAAAAATATGTAAAACATATGGAAAACTAGTCTAGACTTTAAAAAATTGTGATCAGTTCACAATGTTAATAAAGAAAACAGGGACTAGTCCCTATGTTATAGCCATATTAATGTTAAGCCATATTGACAAGACCATTTTATCCAGTATTTTGGTCTTATGAAAGTAACTGCTTTTCTTTAATTCTTGACATTTATAACCATTCAAGGTAGAATCTTAGAAGACTAAGGTGAAATCTCCCAAGGGCAGATATGTAAGTGGTATGATATGTAACAGAGATATCATTCACAAATTGTATAGTGGAGACTCTAAGGAAAAGAAAGCACATTCTTTTTTTAAAATGCTGTTCCCTAATCTGATCATTATTTATTGGTAATTTTGAGTGATGGGGGTGAGAAAGAAAAAGATCAACTTCTGATGGCAAAAATTATCAGTTTGTTAATAATAAGAGGAAAACCGGAATATTTTATACGTGTGATAAATGGGGAGCAGGGTAAATTTAAATAAATTAGAAGTATGAAGCAAATTTTAAGTATGACAAGATAATGTCAGGTTTTAGAGGTGCCATATTGAACAATGTCCGTTAAACTAAAAGCTGGATTATGAAGGAAATATTTCATTCAGTATGTTCTGAATGTGACTGATTTGTGTTAGGTTAAGGTTGTTTTTTTTTTTTTGTTTTGTTTTTTTCATAACCTTTTAAGGGTTGGTTTTAAATTTCTAGAATATAAAAGATTAAAATAATGAAAGGGAGCTATCACGTAGGTGCCATTAAAACCTATATTTGGAATATGCATGTCAACATCAGTTTTCCTTTTGTAATACTTAATAATAGTTGAAGAGTCATCAATCATTTCCCAAAGTTTAAATCATTTAAGGAAATGGAGAAACAAAATTCCAGGTAGGTAATGAGACTAACAGAAGATTTTAGTCCTTAACAAATAAGACTTAAACAACTAGATTAAAAATGGTGGTTTTAGAGAGTGGTGGGTCACAAGTTATAGTTTTTCAAATGAAAAAGTTTTAAAGATAAAAGCTGTTTTGCTTTTTTCAGAGTCAGAATAATTTTTATTTTGGTTAGAAGTGGAATCAGTTAATAGGAAGATAGACTTCCTTAAAAAGAGGGTAAACCATAGAGAAATCCAGGTCAAAACTATTTTGTAGTAAGGCTTATGTAGAATGATATTTTGGATATTTTGCCTAAAATAACAGAAGCATCTTTGTTTAAAATATACAGGATCACAGAGACCTAATGTTAACTGATAAATATAAGTGACATAACATGTTTTAAAAGATTTTTTAATTGAAAGTCCAAATAATGAACAAGCCTTCTCTGTGTTTTTTATTTCTTCTAATATTATTTGCAACAAAGGTGGTCTAGAAACTAATACAACATTTCTCAAAAGGAGATTAATTGGAGAGAATTAGAATTTTCGCTACTGACTTTAGACTGGTTGTTGGTCTTCTTAACCTGGTTGTCAGAAAATTCAATCAACTTTTGAGGGGTTTTTTTTTTTTTTTTTTTCTTAATGGGAGGAAAGTGCTGATTTAGGGTTACTTTCAGGATTATAGCTGTTAAATATCTTTTTAAAAGATTTTTAAAAATTATTTTGTACTTATATGATTTTTAACTATTTCCATGTTTTCTAAATACCACATTAAAATTTTAATGAAATTAATCTGTCCCATTAAAACTGACTGTAAAGGAATTTCATTAGTTCAAAATTCTTCTTTGCCATACATCTTCAGAGTTAAGATTTTCATCTGAAACTCTTCAAATAGAGGCATATTTTTGGCATTGAAAGAATTAAAATTCTGTCCAGCTCTTCGAATGATGAAGTATAACTATATATTAAGATTCCTTAGATGTTTTTGTCCTCTCCAAGTGTTTTACTTTCATCCTGGAAAGCACTTTTCTGACCTACCAGTCATGCAACTTTCTCTATGCCTGTGGGTCCCTCTAGCCCTGATACTCAACTTTATTACTTAGTTCAATCCTCCTTTTCATTGTATTAAGGTATTCATAATCTATTATGTATAAGTTCCAGCATACATATTTTAAAAATCAGGGACCTCAAATTATTTGAAATGTAATTTTTAAACTGTGTTTTCATGTATTAGCTATGAGGAAGATTAAATATTTAGGTGAATAATTCACCTCTGCAGTATCTGTACACTTCAGAACTACCTCTTCAGAAAAGCTTAGCTCAATATTAATCAGAATTATTATCTAATAATTCTGTAATTCATAAAATTACTTCTGATTCTCAGATGATTAATATACATTATTCTCCTGCACATTTTTGATAGAAAGCATTGTATTTTTATAATAATTTACTGCCACAAACAAAATTTATAATCTTCTATAGTTTTAACTTTGGAATTCATAAAGAAATGATTAATATTTTAATATGGGAAGTAAAGATATACCATGCTTTTTAATCTTACATAATTTAAGTACTGGATAGTAAATTTATATGTAACTCTTCTGCATCAAAATTCAGTTTATACTTGAGGTCAAGGTGTATTTTTTAACCATTTAAAAATTACTTAAACCTGGGATCTTTACAGTCTCAGCATGCCATTTAACCTAGTACTTTCCCTTCTCTCTTGAATTCTAGCAAACCAAACGGAGTCAACCTTTTTCACCACCATCAAAATAAAAATGGTAGTAAACCATATGTTTACTGCCTTATGCTATAATGCCTATATTAATACTCAAGTATTCCCTTATTGTGATGTTATATCCCCCCCCCCCTTTTTGAAATATTTCTTAATGATGAAATCACCTTACATTATTTTAAGAGTGAAAAAAACTGCCTTGGATTTTTAAAAAATTTTATCCCAGGAACAGAACAGGAAACATTTAGTGTCTCAACTGCAAACATTTGACCCTAAATAAAATTACAAATTATAAAACATTTTCTTTGTTTTTTCAATCTTAGAAAATTAAGATCATGTACCTACAAATAAACCTCAATTCCTTATATTTAAACCTTTTTTTCTCATAAACTACATGAATATTTAAATATCACTTGGTTATATTTGCTTTTACTCTAGATGGAGTTAAACTGCTATGTTAAAAGTGGAAGAGTGACCAAAGTTGAGCTAATTCATATAGGTCTGTAAAAAATTGAGTACAGATAAGATTACAATTGATAAAATATAAAACATTTAAGTAATTTTGCTTTGCAACTCCAAATAATATTGGATGTTTAGCCAAAAGAATTAAGTTAACTCTTCCAATAATATAACTAATGCAATTTATGTAGTAATTTTAAAACTCAGAAGGCATAAGGAAAACTTACACATTACACAGCAACAGTTTACGTAAATATGTAATGAATGTATTGCAAATTCTTTGTATTCTTTTTTCAGGTAGTTGTCACTTTAGTAACTACCTTTTTAGTTTTTAATTTTATTTATTTTGCAATGTTGGCAATCAAACCCAGGCCTTGGAATATGTTAGCCACTCCCTCTACCACTGAGTCATGCCTGCCCCCAACCCCTACCTTTAATTTCTTTAAGGTATTTTTTTATAATTCATCCAAGTTGCCATACTTCACATCTCTCCTCTGATATTCAATTCCAGATTAAAATAAGTGTTTTAGAATAGGGATTCACTAAAATGTGTATCAATAAAGATATTTCTGCTATTTAAACTCAATTTCAGTTAAGCTCCTTTGCTACAACAGTAGCTATACTTCTAGGGGATTGCTGTCTCTCAAACCAATAACATCTTAAAACCAGCAAGTGCTACTCTTATTTTGTTAGTTTCTGGAAAATATTTTTTCAAAGTAACCTAGGCAGTGAGATTTTTAAAACTTTGTAGGCATATGGGACAAATATTACTTCTTATCATAAACAGTTGCTTATATATTTCCAGATATTAGAAGAATAGTTCTAGAAAAGTAGCCATTTAAAATTTGCATATGATTCCTGTTAATTTAAAAAATTGGTGTTTCTGCAAAGTATAGTTGATCTAATTTTTATATTCTTTATGAGATAACATGCTCTGGCTATGAGATTATTTACCTTGGAATTTAATTTATTTAAATGGGATGTTAACTAGAAATTAGGTTAGCATAAAATTTCTATGAAAAGTTTACTAAGTTGTGTACCCATTTTCATTTTTTTCTAGTATTAATTGCCTTAGGCAATTAATACTCACTACAATATTAAGTATCATGTGGGTGTAGAATATAGGGATTACCAAACTTCCTTTTAAACATAGGTACTTTCACTTTTTATTTGCTCCCCAAAGTAGAAGATTCTTTCCCATTGCTCCGAATATATTAGACATTCAAGTTATTGTTAATTGGTCCTGATATGAACTACTTATATAATAGGGATTCTCTGTCATGCAGGTACCTTTTGCTGCTGAATCATCACAAGAGCACTCAGTATTCCTGTCATTTATCTGATGCCACTGATAAAACATTCACGTAAATGTAATCCTACAAAGGGTATCAGAAAAAAAATGAAGTATTGTGTACCTGTATTTTTATATTCATCCTATAGATATTCCTGTGGTTTTATTTGTACAGAGTTCTTTGGAAGGTTATTTCTTTTTTTCTGGGGTGGGGTGCAGGGTGGTGTTATGTGATGATCTGCTATCATCTGCAGTTAAACAAATATACAACAACACTAGAAGAGGAAGTTTTTAATTCAAAGTTTTATTTAATCAAAAGTCAAAATGTGAGTACTTGATCAGTGGAGTTACTGAATTAATGCAACATACAATAATCAAAAGATAGTAAATGCTTAGAATTATTGTGTTTAAATCCAATCCATTGAACTTTATCTTGATTTCATATTTTTACTGTATCCCTAGTTTGTATTACTGTAATTCAAAAGTATCATATAGACATCTCAAACTGGTGTTTTGTTTCAGAGCTGAGTTGTCTGCCATAGAAAGTAGTCCCTAGATCTTATGTCAGATTGGTAAAAACATTGCCCAGAAGAGTTTCCCCAAAATGCCTTTTATGATACTGCCGTAAGGCCTTATATATTTCAACTACCAGAATATGCCTTTTTGAGTATTACTAATTAATTTTTTCAGAAGGTGAGCATAAATGTGACTGCTATTCTTTATTAACTTTTTCAACTAGTTGTGTGGTGATGATTACTTTTTAGATCCCAAAAGTCATATTTGAATAATATTGTCTTTAGCATGAAGAAAAGTAATCAACATGCACTCTCAAATATGAGAAAAGTTGGGATAACAGTTATTACTATGGGAATGTGAGAGCATATAAAGATTTTACTAATTTGTATTATATAAAACATTTTAGGCAAAAAAAAACCCTCTAAACTTAATGAAATCCACTTTTCTGCTGTACATTGTACAGTCAACATTGTACAATTGAAATAATCAAGATACTAATAAATCCTCTGGTGATCACAGAAGAGTAATCTTCCCCACTTTATATAAGAAGACAAACTAGATTTTAAATTTTTACTTGAAATTTTGCTTTCATCAATGGCAAAGATGAGGTGACTGGGTTTTTAAGATTCTGGTGTAGGAATTTCCTTCCCCTTTAGCCACTCAAATAGATGCCTCCTGAGTGAAATAAGCTTAAATATAAGGGCTTTGGCAATTTTAATCAATAAGCAGGAAACTCACAAGAAAAGATTATCCATAAAACTGGTGATTAAATAATAGTTATCAAAATTTTATGAGATGTTATTATTAATGTTGACTTGAAAGCATAGTGAGACTCTCCAATGCAAATATGCTTAAGTCCTCATTCTATACATAATTATTTATACTTCTTGATCTTTTTTTTAGTTTTAAGAAGTGGATATAGTTAAGAAAAATGGTAAATGTGAACTCACTTTTCTGATTCTACTCCTTAACCAGGCTCTGTTACAGCATAGAAAGGAAGGAGAGCCACTCCAGTGGGGAATTGTTTAACTTACAGCATTTGTGACGGTGTTGAGATGACAATTCCTCTACCTGTCTTGTGTTCAGACCTTTCTCCCAGTTACCCCAATATGTTTCCAGGGTCAGTACTGCCTTAGCTTATTTTGGCTTCTCCATATGTTCTTCCTTGCTTATTGAGTTGAAATTAATCCTCTCAAAGAGAAAAGTTAAATAAGAAAAGTGGGAGCATTTTCACATTGAGTATGCAAGAGCCTAGACTAGAGTGTTAGGAAATAATCTGGAAGTAATTTTTTCCTAAAATATGTATGGCTATAGTATAGTTTGTGACTTTCCTTCTTTCATGGAAATAAAAATAGACAGTTAAGAAATAGTGATGAATACGTAACAGCATATTTGACATATGTCAGCTTGGACATGTTCCTTGTTACTTCCTAATCTTGAGAACCACAGTTTACTGTTTTGAGAGGTATCCGAGAGGTTCCAGATAAAAGGTGAATGTTGAATGTTCTTAGATATTTAGCGTTCTGGATGCCCTAAAGTAGGAGAGGAACTTATAACAGAAGCTCACAATGAAGAACCACATATTCCGGGCCATTTGAGATCTTGCAATGAGAAGGCACCAGATGATAAGAAAGAGGGCAGTATTAAAGAGGTAGTGAATATTTCGGAGCCTGGGGAACAGACAGACATAACCAAAGTTAACATAGTACAAATACTCAACTGTGTGATCTTAAGCATAAATGTCTTTTCCTGGTTGTAATCAGCAAATATTAAGTAGAGTATGTGGCATGATTTGATGGCTTTTTGGTTTCTGTATCTTATTTCCACAACATTCTGAATAATCATTTCTCTAGCTAGATTCTCTTTGCTCATCTCTCTCTATTTTTAAGCTATTTTACAAACATGACCAGTATAATCTTTTAAAAATATATTTGACTTTATTACCATATCATAAATCTTCACTGGTTCTTGTTTACCAGAGGATAAATTCTAAAGTTCTTGGCCTTTTTTTTTTTTCAAATTTCCTTCCTGTTTATAATCTGCTTTTCCATTCTTATTATTTTCTGTATTGCAAATACTCTGCATGCTATTATTATTTGCACCTCCAGGATTATGGCTGAAAGAAATGTAAGGAAGTTGAAGGAACTGAAGAGTAGCTAAGTGATTTTTCTTGGATTACATATGATAATCAGGTCTCTTGCCTTTGGAATATTTTTTTATATCACATTATGATAGGGTGTGGTAAAAGAAATAGAAACTTGGGTTTAAATCTGGCTCCTGTACTAAGGAGGTGTTACCACAGATAAGTTATTTGCCTCTTTGATCTTAAATACTTTTGTGGTAAAAATGGGATAACGAAAATAATACCTGCCTCATAGGGGTGTAGTGAAGTCTAAATGAAGCAGTGTATTATTATAGGGCATAGTATGGAACACAGGACTTGCAGAAAGTGCTCAAGAAAAATTAATTCCTCCCTTTCCCTTCTCAAATTCTATCTGGTACAAAGTGACATACACAATAGATGCTCCATAAATATTACCTGAGTAATTATGCTTACCTTTTTAAGTGTTGCTTTGCTTCTGGGATCCCAGCCATATCCTCTTTCAATATGTATTTCTTAACTCCCAAAACATAATTTTCAATGTATTCTAACCAGTTCAACTGGCTCACATCAAAGTTGAATACCTGCAAGGCAAGAGAGATTATGCATTGCCAGAATTGCACAGCTGAATAGGCACTTTGTCCACTTGATGAAATTTCTTTCACGTAAAGGAGTGACACTCAGTTATAATAGGTTGGACCCCCCCCTCCTCCCCACAAGCCCTGAGATAATTTGGAGCTATTACTTCAAAAGAACTGATAATATAGATCACCATTTACATAAGACTATTTAAACAGGGACCAAGCCAAAACAGTTGACATTCAGGAAGTCTTGTGAGGAAAATTTAAAAGAACTGGTATTAAGTGTTATGGTTTTGAAATAAGATGTCCCCCCAGAGCTCCTGTGTTTCAGCAGGAATATTCAGAGGGGAAGTAATTGGATTGTGAAAGCTGTAACCTAACCAGTCCATCCTAGTTTGAAAAAACTCGGTAGTAACTGTAGGCAAGAGAGACATAGTTGGGGGAGGTGGGACACTGTGACCCTGTCCCCTGCCCCGCTATGCTTCCTTTCTCTTTACCAGAAGCAGCTTCCCTTAGGAATGCCCTTCCCCCATGAGACCTCTGAAAATGAGCTCCAAAATAACTTCTTTAAGTTATTATTGCCAGGTATTTTGATCACAGCAAAACAAAGCTGACTAATACAGTCTGGTGAAAGCTTGTGATTGGCTTGGTATGCTTTTTCAAATAAATGATGAATGATTATTTTAAATATTAATGGGATGACATGTTAGTGACCGAAATATAACTTACATATCTTTCCCATACCTCTTAAATTTTAGCATTGTTCCCTTGGCCTACTATTCTTTCTTCCATTACTACTTCATTACATAGATGAGATTAAGTAACCCATTCCTTAAAGCTTTTTATATTTAAAAAGTTAGTGGTAAAAGAAAAGAGATGAAGGAAGATGGAGGGCAGAAGGAAAAGGAAGAGATTTATTTAGGGAGAGAGTGTTGCTACATAGAGATAGACACTGTAAATAACAATAAGGAAAGTTTAAAAATGTTTTGCATCATTAAAGTGTATTTTCTATTTGGTTTGTTATTGAAAGCTAGTGTAAAGTTTTGAATTGCTTCCAACAGATTTTATCTTTGCTCCATTTTGAAAGTAATGCTGTGGTGTGGCAGGATCATGAGGAGGACCAGCTTCCTACAGACAGCCCTAGGATGGGTTGAGAAGGAAAACATCAGGTCATCCATGAGCCATCCATACATCTTTTCAAAATCTCCATAAAACGAGCTTAACTAGAAAAATAGAGGAAAAGAGCTTCAAATATAATAAATAATTTTGATTGAATATAAAGAATTTGGGGCAATAAAACAACAGGAAGAGTGTCAGGAAGATTGTGGTAACTCTGGAAATATTTAGTGTTAGGTTCTTCTTGAATGGTTTGAGTATGATCCTGTTGAAAAAAAGATTGCATTAGATAATCACTGGTCTTCACACTGGGTAGATTTAATTTTGAAGGTTTTTATTCAGTATATTTGAGAAGAATGGCATGAAAAATGAACTTATGCTACCATTAAAAAAAAAGTTCAATATTTTATAAATCTTAGCAAGTGGAGTTTCTTTAAGCAGTCTAGTCTTCCCCATAAGGTAGCTTTCTCTTCCTTGGATGTATAGCGCTCTCAGATCACTTTTTGCTTAATAAAATCCTATTCTTAGTAAAGAATTTTCCTCTGGGCAATGAAGGTGAGTTGCCTGATTAGATTTAACTGATTAAACTCCCATTGAGACCTCACTAGAAAGGACTTTAATCTTAACAGCAAAACATCTTAATTCAAATAAACGATGTTCCTGAAACAACAACTGGCACAAGATGGGTATTCAGTAAGTACTGGCTGAATATATAAAAGAATTGCAGTTTAGTAAAATTAATGTTATTCTGTGTGTGTGTGTGTGTGTGTGTGTGTGTGTGTGTGTCGCTGGGGAGCAAACCTAGGGCTTTGTGCACTCTGCCACTGAGTTACATCCCTAGCCCCTTAATATTAATTTTAAAAAACAAATGTTCGGGCTGGGGATGTGGCTCAAGCAGTAGCGTGTTCACCTGGCATGCACGGGGCACTGGGTTTAATCCTCAACACCACATAAAAATAAAATAAAAGATATTGTGTCCACCTAAAAAAAAAACCTAAAAAATAAAAAACCAAAAGTTTATTTTTGTTACATAGCATTTTTGTTTGTTATTTGATGTTTATATAAGGTTTATATGAATATTACCAAATTAAACTTAGTTTCCTTTTTATTTTCAGACAACCTTTCCTTTTTTTCAACAGCCTTTAATGGAGGCATAGATTGTTCTAAATAAAAGGCATAAATTGTCAAGATCAAAAAACCAATCACAACTAAAAGTTGAGTTTATTGACTTTAAAATGGCCACAGGGGAGGCTGATGCAGGGGTATCATAAGTTCAAAGTCAGCCTGGCAACTTAGTAAGACTGCCTCAAAAACAAATAAATAAAAATTGCTGGGGATGTTGCTCACTGGTAGAGCACTTGCTTAGTGTGCACAAGACATGCATAAATGAATGAATGAATGAATGAATGAATGCCAGCTACCAGTTTCTGAAAATCTCTTGGGCTTTATGATTAGTGGTTTCCCTATATCTAGGATATAATAAAATTCTAAAGAAAATGAGTTTGACATCTTAAGGATTTAGTAGTTCTCTAGGGCTACTTAATCCTCATCTTTTTATATGCAAATAAAAATGTTATATATTAATCACAAAAAACCATCTTAGACCTGGGAGGGATGTGAGTAAATATTAATATCCTTAGTTAACATTATGAGCATTCAATGAACATTTATTTAATACACTTGATCTTAGTCAAAAGGCCGAGAAGCGATAACATTTATTTAATGAATGAGCTCTTTGCTGATTTATTATCCATATTGCTTTTTGTTAATATTCTCCACTTTCACAGAGGAACATGATCAGAAATAACCTTTTCACGGAGCTGTTACTATATTTGCTTTAGAGATATTATCCATTATGTCTTAGAAAACCATGATAGGAAACCCTTTATAAACACTCATTAGATATTAAATATAAGAGAGCTTTGCTTTAAACATTAGTATATTTTCACCTTTGAGACAAGGAATTTCATGTTCTCTTTGTCACCAGAAAGCTCAAGAACAAATTCCCTGCCTCAAGAACAACTTCCCTAGCAACTTGGTAGGATCTAAAAACATTTTTTTTTTCATTCTTAGCCATGACACTCTGACTTGTATTGGCTTGTATTTCAACTAGTTTGGTAGTTTATTTCATTTCTATTTTGTTCTTTTATTGTATGTATTAATTTAAGTTTTCACAAGCCTTTGTAAAATTTGAAGTGCTAACAAAGAGCACATGAGGTTAACAAGTTCCATAGCATTCCATAGACTTGTCCAGAAATTGAATTGCTTTTGGGCTGGGTTGTACCTCAGTCAGTGGCAGACAGCTTGCCTCACATGTGTGAGGCACTGGGTTCGATTCTCAGCACCACATATAAATAAAAAATAAATAAAGGTCCATCAACAACTAAAACAATATTTGTAAAAAGAAGTTGAATTGCTTTCAAAAGTAGTTCCATTATCACTTTGTTTGAGTATGTTTGTGGTTATCACTAAATATTTATTCATTTATATAAATAGAGGCTTTTATTTTTATACTGTTTCACACTACTGAGTTAGATTTCGGTGAAGTTATAGTTAGGAATTTTTTATTCCATCAGCAAATCAAACTGAATTCCGAGCCACACTGGAATTCAGTAATTACATTTAGGATTATTACCTTTGTTAAAATATTTTGAGAGCATGGTCAAATCCACTGAAACTTCCCATACACATTTTTAGTCATTTTAGGTTGAAACTTACTATTTCAATGCTGTCAGGTACAAAATAAATAGAAAACATTTTTAAAACAATTGTTTCTTAGGAGAAAATGTCAATCATTAGAGAGGATGTAAAAACTTCTAAAAGTTTAGTTAAAACTTTAGTAATGTCATAAGGATATGCTCAGGGAAAATGAAACCTAGGAACATGTACAAAATACAAAAGACTTCTGCATTTGTGAATTTTAGAATCTGCAGAGGTTTATCCTTTGTGGTTGTTAAGAAACTAAGGAAATAAGTGATGCTGATACCAAAAAGAGATGGCCTATCTTAAAAATTAGAATTGCACTGTGGAAGAAAAATATTGCAGGAAGGAACACTGAGTGTGAGAGAGAGGGCCGTACTGGTGGGGTGAAATTTAGATGAGATAGAATGCATAGTGTAGGGGTTAGCTTTAAAAAGATAAGAATGGCTGGGCATGGTGGTGCCCATGTGTAATCCCGGCAGCTCAGGAGGCTGAGGCAGGAGGATTGCAAATTCAAAGCCAGCCTCAGCAACTTAGTGAGGCCCTAAGGAACTCAACAAGACCTTGTCTCTAAATAAAATATAAAAAAGAGTTGAGGATGTGGCTCAGTGGTTGAATGCCCCTGAGTTTAATCCTCAGTACCAGGGAGAAAAAAAAAAAGAAAGGAACTGTAGCTGTGGAGATGCAGATCAATTTTAATTTGTCAAGTATAGTATATGAAAGAGTTTATGAACAATAAAAATGAACAATAAAATATTTTTTTTATTGACAGCATAGTACATAGAGGAAAGTCAGAGATAATGAGGGCTTGTGGTGAATATGACTACTGAGGGATGAAAAAAAAATTTCAGGATGGAAGTACAGTAGACGAAATACATCATTGCAGAGCAACAGTGGAAATCTAACTGAAGTCCAAGAACATCAAACTCATTTCCTTTCACTGTGTCTGATTTTCTTAGGAAAAAATTATCTGTGTATATAACCAAAACTTTCTCCATTGACTTTGAGTTGAATAATCCTAAATTCCAAATAAGTAAGATTCTCCTGTTGTCTGCACCAGTGCTGTACTTACTCTCTGGTCCTCAGGACTCAGCTCTGACATCAGCATTTCTGTATTGTATGTGCTCCATTCCCAACTCCGGTTGATGAAGTACTCCAGCATGGAAATAGTTCTTAAAAGCCGATTCATGAGCTTTGTCATCCTAAGGATGAGATCAATTAGAAGCAGATATCAGTGCACCACAGATGGCTACTATATTGGGATGACACTATATTGGGATGGATGACAAATTCATTGAAGAAAAATCTTATCCCTCTTCTTTTTCTCCAATTCCTCATTAAAATTCTTAATCTTTTTTTTCTTCCATCTTAACTCTGTTGAATGAAGGAAAGGGAATGAATTTAAAGGAGATTCCTCTATCGGGCACTTTAATACCAAAGTCTTCTTTCTGCCATCTCTTTCCTAAGAGTAGCAAACTTACTTTAAAAACAGCCTGCTATACCCCCCTAAGGACACACTGTTCATTTTTGAATTCTGAGGGAGACAATTGGAAAATTTATTTCTCTTTATTGTATGTTCTTAGATTTTTTTTAATAAATAGTCTCTGAGATCTTAGTATATAACTCCTGGATAGAAGCGTTGACCATATTAGCATCTGGGGAACTAAAGCATTTGCCAGTTGTAAGGCAGACCTAAGGGGAAAAGAACCCACTCTTGATAACCTGAATTATGCACAGCACTGATACTTCTAAGAAATATTCTCTCTGCTATTTTGCATAATAGTATCTTTATAAATAAATATTTTTCATAAGTAGGTAACATAGACTGTGTCAAAGCCAATATTACAACTTTGTTTTGAACAACCTCCAAAAATCTCTGTGCAATCTCATAACCTTGTATCTCATCACTTGAGGTAATTTTCCAATTCTGTGGTCAGAACTTGAAACAGCTCCTTTGTGTGAATCTCCCAAGTTTAATACAATTAGCAAGAAACTTTCATATGTGTTATTATTTGATCCTCACAATACAACTACGAGGTCATCAACACTGATATTACTTATATTCACTTTATAGAAAGATTATGTTCAAAGTGACATTGCTAATACTCCAACTTAGTTCTTTGGATTATAAAGCATTTGATTTTTATCTTAATTAAACAAATCTTCATAATAGTGATTACTGTATTCAATGCAGTAATGAGTTATGGTGCTATTTGGGGGATTTGGTTTTATTTTTGGTTAAATTCTAAAGCCTGTGTACCCAATGACTCATGGGGTACTTCTCTCACTGTATTATGGAAAATTTCTTAAACAGAAGGTAGATATCATTGTTCTTTGATTCAAATACCATAATAGAGTTCCATTTAACTGTAATTATATAAATCTCTGTCCCAACTCTGATACAATTGATGTGATTTTAATAGATGCACTTTAATTCTAAAAAATAATAGTCATACATACAGTATTATCATTGTATATATAGGACTATATTGACCTAATGGTATTTATTTTTTTTAGGGAAAAAAAGAATTTATCACTCTAAGGTAGAAAAGTTTTTCTTAATAGCTAAAATACAAAAACGGTAAAAGAAAAGAATGATTTATTTTACCTCATAAAAATTTAAAACATCTTCAGCAATAATAAAAATTATTATTCTAAACATTTTGATGTAAAGTCCTATAAAATAGATATGATCACTATCCTCTTTTTACAGAAGAGGAAGTTGGGACTTACAGAAATGAACTAATTTTAGGGCTTTTATGCCACAAAACAAAAGAACCCATTTCCCACCAAAATTACAGTTTGGTTTCTTGCAAACAAAACACATAACGGATTTTTATTGTCTCTTCCTCCTGTGTTTTTATATTTTACATACTGAACTTTCTGCTATTTATCTAAGCCTTTTAACCCTATTTTGAACGTTTTAGCATTTCTGCTGTAATTTTTTTTTTTTTACTTTTTATATTTAATAAGCCCCATTCAAGGGTTGAGGCTATAGTTCAGTGGCAGAGCATTTGCCTAGCATATGTGAGATACTGGGTTCAATCCCTATAACTGCATAAAAAAATAAACAAACAAAATAAAGGCATGCTGTCCGTTTTTACCCCCCTCTCCCAACAAAAAAGCCCATTCAAATATTTCCCTTATAGTCACATGTCCTTATACTTCAGTAAAGAGCTGAGTTGTGAGCTCTAAATGAAGTCTCTGAAAATATGGATAAGCTACAGTGGCTAAGTTTGAGTCATTTGCTCTGTTAAAAAGGATGAAAATTAAGCACACTGAGAACCCCCTAACCCCAATAAAGGATAGTAAAGAAGCCAATACAGTTCATGCTCTAATTCTTGATCACAGGCTTGACTTGGTAATTGTAATAATGATGACTTCTCATTACTCCAGTGAGACAAAGAGATAAGGGATATGTCCTCTGTCACACTGCTCATGGCTTAGCTTCAGCACACTTTGTTCCCCCTAATTCCTTCACAATTCACAATACTGGCAGTTGAGACTCAGCATTCTCTAAACCCTTCCTCTGACACTTCCTTTGAGACTATTCAAATTCTTCCCTTAGCTTCTCTTTCCTTGATTTTAAATTTGGGATGATGAGAATGTCTTCTCTGAGATGTGAGAGTGGAAATGGGATCATCATGATGCTATCATCCTTCCCCCCAGAAGTGCCACACAGTAAGTTCTCAGAAATGAGATTGTCGTTACTGTGTATTTTAAAATGATTTACTTGAAACACTCCAGTGACAGAGTCTCAGTTGCTTTACTTTTAGTGTGGATGATAACTTGCTAAATTTATCAAGCAAGTTCTTATTTATCTATCTATTTATTTATTTTATTAGTTCTAATCAGTTTTACATGACAGTAGAAAGCTCTTCAATTCATTGTATACAAATGGAGCAGAATTTTTCACTTCTTGGGTTGTACGTGAAATAGAGTCACACCATTCGTGCAATCATACATGTACCTAGGGTAATGTTGTCCATCTCCATTCCACCATCTTTTCCACCTCCTTGCTCCCTACCCCCCTCCCCTTTGTCCCATCCAAAGTTCCTCCACTCGTCCCTTTTCCACCCACCCCGCCCCCATTATGGATTAGCATCTACTTATCAGAGAAAACATTCAGGCCCTGGTTTTTTGGGATTGGCTTATTTCATCAAGCAAGTTCTTTAACTTCCTTCATTATGGCAGGCAGGAGATTTTTAGGTTAGCAGTAGTTTGTGGTTTCTCACTACTGCTGCCTTTTTGTCCCAAAAGTGTGTGTGTGTGTGTGTGTGTGTGTGTGTGTGTGAGAGAGAGAGAGAGAGAGAGAGAGAGAGAGAGAGAGAGAGAGTGACTCACCCCCCCCCCCCCTTTGATCCTCAGCTGAAGCTGGGCTAGAGACTTTCAGGCCCTAATTTCCAGCGCAGTGACACTCTTAAAGCCATTGGCACAGCTGCTCACCTGGGCTCCCTTCCGGTGAGTCTCAGATAGAAGTCATAGATGATGGCAGGGGCCCGGTGGCTGACCGCATTCCAGTAGGAGGCTGTGAAGTAGTTGGTTGTGAAGTCAGCATTTGGCCTCCTGAATGCTCTCTCAAATGGGGCTTTTTCAAAAGTTGCCAAGACTTGTAATCCTGGCAAAAAAGGAGAATTAGGTACTAAGTTCACCCATTAAAGTGAAAGATGTTTGCAAAATAATAAAGACTATGGATTTGCTGCAAAGAATCAAGAATCAATTTCTAACAATGTGAAGACTTTTATGTTGGGCAGATGGCCATCTACAAACTTAAACAATATGAATGGGTCAAGAATTGGCTCCTTTTCTTGAAATATTTACTCAAAACTTGGGAAACTAGTTTGAGTCAATACAAGCAAGAGCTTCAATGTCAAGATTACCTCATCTCTTCTGAAAGAGAGGCTAGGCACCACATATTCCTTAGTTGAATTATTACTTGCAGAACCATCAGGAAAGTTTCTTCCTTTCTTTGGTGCTGGGGATTGAACCCAGAGGCACTTCAACACTGAGCTACACCTCAGCCCTTTTTATTTTTTATTTTGAGATAGGGTCTCACTAGGTTGTTTAGGGCCTCACTAAATTGCTGAGACTGGATTTGAACTTGCAATCCTCTTGCTTCCATCTCCTGAGTCACTAGGATTACAGATGTGTGCCACCACACTTGGCAGGAAAGTTTCTTAATGGGTTACAATTTCTCAAAGTTAAACTTTCTCAATAAAGAAAATATAAAGGCGGGATTCCCTTGCATTGGTTCACTTTAAATACTACAGTCTTACTTCTTTGGTATTTTACTTTGCTGGAAATATGTTAGATTTAATTTTCCACTATTGTCTCCAAGTTTTTTTTTAATAAAAATCTTTTCATTTTATCTTATTATTTAGATTATACTTAGTTGAAAAACTTTGATGCTCATTTGTCAATTCAATAGTTCTTTTCAAAAATATTCACTTAAATCCAATTTGAATTTATGTAGAGTTTTTCAAAGAATGTACCTGTTGGGTGCAGAGCAGGCTGAACTGTGTTGTCTGCAGGGCAGGCTGAACAGATGTTGGCTGCAAGATAGCCCACGCACTCAAACCCCCCTCTATCTGGTCCTCTATCACCTGTTTGCCTCAAGTCTGAACATTCAACCCTGCTTAAGGCTGAACACTTAACCCCCCCTTGGGCCAACAAGGCAGCTTGCAGACCCAGAGGCCCCATTAGATTTGGGCTATAAAAACTCCCTCCTGCCAGGCCCCCCTCTCTCTTGCTCTCTCTCTTGCTCTTTATCTTCCTTACGCACGCTCTCTGTCTCTCTCTTGCTCTTGCTCTCTCCCTGTTCATCTCTTCTCTTTTCTCTCTCTCTCTCTTTCCTTCTTTCCTTTCTCTGTTGCACTGCTGCAATAAAGATCTTTTGGTTGCTCTGAGTGTTGTGGTCACTTTCCTTTCAGTACCTAAGCTCATTATTCAATGATAATGAAGCTATCATTTATTATGGTAATGTGATTATTGCCTTTCTTCAAAAGATACCACCTAGAAATCTATATGAAAAATATACACCCTATACAGAAGGGGAAAATTGGGTCCATAGGCTTATTTACTTGAAAAAGAAAAATAAATAAAAAGGTCATACACATGTAGGATAATCTAATATTAACACTAACTTTCTAATCTACATATCCATATACATTTCCATGTGTTTTGGTACCAGGTATTGAACCCAGGGGCACTCAATCACTGAGCCACATCCCCAGGTCCTTTTTTTTTTTCTATTTTGAGACACGGTCTCACTAAGTTGCTGAGGCTGGCCTCCAACCTCTGATCCTCCTGCCTCCTGCCTTGGAAGAATTTTGATCACTCTTATTTGAAACACAAATGAGTTTCAATTTAAATGTAAAATCAAATTAATCGGTAATAGTGTCCAGATATATTGTATTAAAAAATGCTAATACAGAGTCTTGGCACTGGGGAGAAAGTATGTTGTGACCAGCTGACGTCTGCCATGGTGTGAGGGGACAAGAGAAGGCACACATGCCAAGTATGTGTCATTCTTGGGAAGGCAATCTTCAAGTCAAGCCTATCATACAATGAGCCACAGCGTCTGACTACTCTACAGTAATAATCTGGGACCATGGCTCAATGGAATGTGTAGAGATAATGTCACTGATGGAACAGGGAAAGGAGAGATGTGTTAGTGAGGACTGAAGCATCATCCTTCAGGGTAGCTAAACCCACATTTCTTACCCTCTGCCATCATTAGATGTTTACATGTATTTCCATGGATTTTATTCATTGAATAGATCTGATCCCTACATAGACCAATCAAAAAAGTATGTTTATTACGGGGCTTCTCACAGTGGATTTCCACATCATCAATACTCATATGGATGCTATTAAAAATATAGGTACCATGGGCTAGGGCTATAGATAAGTGGTAGAACATTTGCCTTGCACATGTGAGGCACTGGGTTTGATTCTCAGCTCTGCATATAATAAAGGATTAATGGATTAACAACTTTAAAAAAATTTAAATATAACTACCATGACGTTGTGACACTGCCTACGACCTTGTCCCAGGATCCAAGAAAACTGACTTTTTTTTTAATCTCACAGAAATTCGTACACATTTTTTCTTTAAATTTAGTTTTTAGTTGTGGTTGGACACAATACCTTCATTTCATTTATTTTTTTGTGGTGCTGAGGATCGGAACCCAGGGCCTCCCAAGTGCTAGGCCGGTTGGTGCTCTACCACTGAGCCACACCCCAGCCCTCATACTCATTTTTATGAGTTACTAGTGGAGTGGTTATTCTCACTGAAAGGGGTAAGATATGTTATTCGCACTGAAAGGGGTAAAAATGATTCAGATATGTGTCTAAACAAGTGTATATATGGTGTAAAGAGCTCTGATAATAGTAGGTAATTTCATTTTATTTTTACAGAAGTAATAACTTTGCAACTAGAATGGCACAACTGAGCACTCTGAGTTAGAAATCAGATTCTAACCAATGAAATACATTTGGTTTTTGCTTTTACTTTGTCTAGTATCTAAACAACAGCTAGATAGATGATATAAACTTTCAGACTTTCTTAAACATTAAAATTGAATCAATTTCAAGATATTTTCAGGATTACAGTTGCTGCACCCTCAAGAGAGACAAAACTAATGAGGAATATCACTGACTCAATAACAAAGGAATACTATTATTCGACTTTCCTATATTTTTTCAGTCACGGATTATTTTAAATTCCCAGCAATGCCCCAAGAGAGAAAGGCCTGCGTGGGTTTTTCTAGGAATCGCCTCAGCAGGAAAGAGTGTCTTATCCCTGACATTGTTTGTGATTGCCAACTTTTGCTAGGTTTTATTATTGTTTTTTAAACCTCTGTGGCCAACAGACCCCTTATTCCTTGGACTTGTGTTGGTGTTCCCACCGCTCACTTAGTACACCACAGGATGTTCCAGAGAACGATGACATATTTCAAAATTGCAATCATTTTATCTCTTTATTAATTATTATTATTATTTTTCTTTCTTCTCCTCCCTGACACATTTCATCGGTCTTGATTTTTTTTTCCCCTCAAGCAAAGACTAGTAGTAATCATGTAGTTACATCTAGAGGCACTTACCCATTTTGCCCCAATTACAGGGATTGGTAGTTCCCGATGTACAGTGGTAGATTAAGGTTGGCTTAGGTCTGGAAGATGAAATAAAAATTAGATAACAATAAAACGCAGAACTGATGAAACAAAGATAAGGGAAAAATCACATCAAGACAGGGTGCCTTAAAAATTCCCACGACTAAAGCAACCTATGCAATACTTCCATCTTTTGTTCTTTCTTTGGGTTAATGCACAAAATGGAAGGTGACTAGGAAAGTGTGTGTGTGTGTGTGTGTGTGTGTGAGCTTGTGTGAGTGAGTGTGTGAAAATGTGTTTGTGTGTGTGAAAGAGAGAGAGTGGTGTCAAATAGGTATGATATATTGTGGAATACATGTGTCTGAGTTTACATAAGAAAAATTTAATTCTGTTTATCATTTACTAACAATACCAAATGTACAAGCAATCTATTTTTTTCTCCTTTGTATTCAGAAATTTCCCCACATTCTGTGGTCTGGACTTTTGGCATTTACCAAGAAACTGAGCAGTTCAATGAAATATAAAATATGTTGTGATTTCATCAACATTTATATCTTTGCCATAAAAAAGGAAGTTATATTTTAGATGACTGAATATAAAGTAAATATTTTTGGTTATCAAGAATTTCAGGGCTAAGCTATTTAAAGGGCGTATTACTTTATAATCAAACGCACAAGTATTTGTGCCTTCTATAATAAGTGCCGTATTTTTCAAATGTGCCTAACATATTCACCCTCCTCTTATCTTCGAGAGCCTGCTTAAGAGCCCATACCTGTGAACTGCAGTGTACCATCCTACCGCTAAGGTGAGATTGACAACTGTATCAACTGGAATTAAATCTGCCACAGCCATTGGGGTAGCTTTTATGGAACGAAGAAATCCTTTTCCAGCCTGCACAGGAAAACAAGGAAAATGATAACACAAATAAGATGCATTAAGCCAGGACTTAAGTAGCCAATAGGACCAGCATATAAACACTACTGCTGTTAGTCAAAATAGTTAACACTGATTCACTGCTTCTAAGTTATTGTACTGTTTGACCTCCCAGCCTATCCAACCTTCTCAGCCAAATTCATCTCAAGTGTCCACATCTCTGTGTGAGTGGTCCTTGGATTCCTTTTGGGTATAAAATTCCTTAAATTCATGAGAAATTAATATACTTAGTTAATTAACAAACACCACAAATAGTTTTTCATATAAAAATTGATTTGTAAGACATTTTAAGAATTTAGGTTTCCCAGATTTTCCACTGATATTTGTTTACCATTTCTTAAATGAATTTGGTTTCTGTTAGTGCTTATTCAATTACAAGCAAAAACAGTCACTAAAAATTTAAAAAACATTTATCTGGAAAAAATGGAAATGAAATTTTACCACTTAACAGAATATTTTTTTTTTTTGCTTGGGAAAAGACACCACAATTATTTATTTTTTGTTCAATATTTTACTTCAACCCACAGATCATAGATATTATCTAGAAGCAATAATTAGAATTTTTCATGTTTATAATTGATAGACTTCATGAAGTTGGTTTGCTTTACTTTGCATATTTCCAGCATTGATTTAAAATTATCAGCACTTTCTTATATTCCTAATTCATTTTTTTTGTTTGTTTTTGGTAACTAGTTCCCTTACTTTAGATATAAGGAGGCAGGTATTAGGAAAATTTTAGGAAATTTGAATAAATGAGCAGCTTTGCAATGTAATGAAACCCACTCTGGGCTCATGTTAAAATAATAATATTATGGGTGACCAAACATTCACCAACTAAATGGTAAGAAGGAAAGAGCTGAAGACAGACTGGGAACAGAAAGAGGAGCTGGTTGAAAATTTGGAACTCAGAAGGCAGTTCATTGTCACTATCTTTAAAAAGTCGTACTTGATTCACTGTCTTGTATTTATATTTTAATTCATGTTGGACTTAGTTTGAGGACTTGTTTGAAGCATGTGATCCCTAATAAGATTTAAACTCGTTTAGATAACTGAATTGCTATTTAGTGCTCTGAAGAGCAAAGATGTAGTTCTGGTTCTAAAGTGTTTCGCTGTGAGCTGGGGAACACTGCACCTCAGCTGGGTCACTGTGAACTGCTGGGAGATGGACACCTGGACTAGCTGTGTTTCTCCTCTCCCAGGGGTTTGTGATTGAAAAAGCATTTCCCATGTTCGCCAGTTTTTACATTTGAAACATCTGCCACACCTTTTTTGTATTAAAAAATAGTTATTGATACATATTTGTACACATATATGCATAATATATTCTTTATATAACATACCCATAAAACTCTTGCATATTTTAAAGTCAATAATTCAATAATCTTTGAGGGTTAGGTTTTTATTGCATCCTCAATTTGCTGCACGAATTCAAGCCATTAATAAACAGCAGAGGAGGAAATATCCCCATCTGGTGGCAACTAAAGGAAAATTCTTGATGTTCAAAGGTTTTGCAAAATAAAACCCCTCAACAGTAATTGATGATGTCATATTACATGTTTTCCATATGATAAAATTCTCACAGAATGAAAGTGATTCCATACGGTCTCTATTTTCCAATCAGTAAAACGGAGATATGTTGTTTCAATTATTAGTATAGTAAAATTTATGTTTTGGGATCAAAGAAGCTAAACCAGCACTAAGAATTTTGTTATTATTTCTCCACAACCTTTCAAGAAATGATTTCCCCTTCATTATACATACCGCAACAATGATTCCACTAGGTCCATTTAGGTTATCAACCCAGCCCTAAAAAATAGAAGGTCTCTATTGGTTACATATTTCAGAAAATTGCTTTATCTTTGGAACATCTACAGTCTAATCTTAATACATATCAAAGAAGAACATCAAAACCACAGCTAAAAGAATATTTTAATTCAGTATTTCTAAGATTCCCCAAAAGATCAAAGCACTGGCAAAGCACTGACTACTTTCTATACTTTTTCTGATTCTGCAAGGATTAAAATGTTGCCGGTATTGATTTTTCTTTTTCTAAATATTTATATTGGTGCTTATAATTATACACAATAGTGGAATTTGTTGTGGCATATTTGCACATGCACATAATTTGGTCAATTTTGTTCCCCACTACCTCTCTTTCTCTCTCCCTGCCTTCCATAATTCCCTTCCTCCACTCTATTAGACTCCCTTCTATTTTCATGAATTTCCTCTGCTTCTCCCCACTCCTCTCTCTCTAGCTCCGACATATGTGGGAGAATGCAACCCTGGTTTCCTGAGCCTGGTTTATATCACTTAAAATAATGCTTAAGTTCCATCCATTTTCTTGCAAATGACATAATTTGTTCTTCTTTGTAGCTGAATAAAACTCTTTGTGTGTTTATACCACATTTGCTTTATCTATTCATCTGTTGATGGGCACCTAGGCTGGTTCCATACTTGGCTATTGTGAACTGTGTTGCTGTGAACACAAGCATACATGTATTGCTACAGTATAACACTGATTTTCATAACAAGGAAGTATGGATGTTTTCCTGCAGTTTCATATTGTCTCATGAGTTAAACTGGACCTTGTCTTCATATCGTGATCCGCCAACCAGTTCATCAAACACAACTTTTTTCCCCCCCATCTGAGGTTGGATTCTAAGCTATGTGAAAACATTTCAAACATGAACTGTAGGAATGACCCATTTCTTGGAAAAGTTTTAACAGCTTTGGAGTCCATACCACATATATATTTTTATGTGTTGGCCTGCTTGGAGGTGTTACAGGAAAGATTGTGCTTGGGAAGTAAGGGAGAAATGTCATTTTCCCAAGCCCTAAGCAAGTCAGTTTGACCTTATTATGTCTTTCTTTATCTGTAAAAATCAAAATGTGTGTGTGTATAATGGAGAGGGAAGAGGAAGAATCTAATATTTTTTGATCTTTTTCTAGGACCAGACATTATACAAAACACTACTCAAGCATTGTCTCACTTAATCAACTCTCCAAAGTGAGTCAAATCAACCATGATTTATAGATGAGACAATTCAAAAGTTTGCATTGCTAGTAGGTAATGGAACACCCAGCTCTGAAGCTTCAAAGAGTTTCTCTGAAGAAGATGATATAATTAAAAGTAACTTTTGAAAGGATATAGCAATAGAGAGAGGTTAAAAAAAAATATTATTCCTAAACTGAGAAACTGTGGGCTTTGTGACTCCTTTTTACCTTGGAAATTGCAACACTACCCATTTGGCCATAAAGAACATTCTGACATATTGAAACCATAGAGGGAAAGCGAAGTAATGAAACCATCTCCCTGCAATTTTGAGACTAGAGTTAGTGAGAAGCAATTTAAGATCTCTACCCAACTCTTGGACAGTCAGAGTTAACTCCCAAAGGAGCCTCCTGCTGGGTAAATCCTGACGCTAACATGGAATTTGCTGTAATAAAATGAACTTGTGTTTTATTTACTGCACTCAGCTATACACCCTGAGAAGGAGGAGGAGGGAAGGGTGGGGAAAAGGAGAATACAGGAAGGGGGAAGAGGAACATCAGAAAGAAATGGTGCTGTGGTTTGACAGCTGAGCAGAGAATCCAGAGTGAGCTCACTGGGAAAGGCTCCTGCCAGGTGGCTCCCACGATGGAGGGCCGGATGATGGCCACGTTCAGGTTGTTGCCCTCTTCCTGCACTACCATCTCTCCCAAGGCCTTGGTGTAGGTGTAAGTATTAGGCCGACCGGCAATCAGTTTGGGAGTGATCTCATCAATGATAGCATCATCTAACCACCTGAAAGTAGAGAAAAAAAAAATCTAGGAACATATGTTGCACAATAGACCAAAAGGAAACTGTGAGATACAGTCAAAAAAACTTCCATCTTCTAGTTTGACTTGGGGAATTCAGAACAGTCACAGTATAGCAAGGATGAGTGTACCTGTTCCAGTCATGAATGACGGATGAGCTCTTCACTCTCTTCTAGCCTAGTCTTAGTGAAGTCCCACTTCCTCCCACCCAGATAGATTAACAAATTAGATATGCAATCTACTATTTATTACATACAACCTCATATTATCCTCACTTCTCCAATAGGTTCCCCAGACGGTCATTGAACACATTTTTGAGTACCATTCATGTGCTAGCTGCCATATTCCTGGACTCAAAGCCTCCCTGATCCAGTGAACTTCGGTGGCGGCCCCACTCATTCAGTGTGGTCCACTGAAAACCTAGTGAACTAGACCGGAAGACTTTAACTGTTAATTTTTAAGATTTTACTCAATGCCTCAACAAACAAAGCAACTACATTTAGCAGACTTCTCATCTGTTTAAGCAAATGTATAAAATGTATTTTGAAAGTCTGTTTAGAGCCTAAGCAAATAATGTGATAATTATTTCTGGAGATCTCTGAACAGAATTCTAAAGTCTGTCAAGGGGAGTGATTATAGTACTCTGAAGCGATGTCAGTAACAACTATTGAATATTCCTACTTAAGAGGTGACAGGGGTTGTGAGTAACTGTGCCACATAACATCAGCCTAATCCTTTTGAAAACTATGGCAGAACCATTTTGATAATCCCAAGTCTATCTACACTTCTCTAAAAGATTAACAAAATTATTGTCAATTAAATATGTAATGTTTCTCTTAGCTAGATGATCTGTTACAGACCATAACCACACTAAAAATCTTAACTGTTACTGCTTTGAGCACAGCACAAGTTCTTGAGTATTTAAAATCTGTTTGATGTTAAGATTGATTCACAATCACAACTATGAATTTTAATCACTTTCATTTGACATTTTGGTGGAATGTAAAGATCATCTATAGTATTAATTGTCCTTGCTTTGCTTCTGTTAGTGCTCAGTGTATTCTGTGTACTCAACTACCTTCTGATTTCAGTTGAATAGGGGAAGGTTGAGAAGTTCCTAGAACTAAAACAACTCAAAATACATAGAGAAATAGAGATATTTCAACTATATGGACACCTGGAATTTGGGAGAGAGTGGGGGATAATGCAGGTGCCTCTCTGGGTTTATAGCCATCCTCTGTATGGAGGTGTGGCTCAGTGGCAGAGCACTTGCCTCACACATGTGAGGCACTGGGTTTGATCCTCAGTACCACATAAAAATAAATAAACAAAATAAAGATATTGTGTCCATGTATAACTAAAAATAAAAAATACAGCCATCCTTTGGTATCTGAGGAGGATTTGTTCCAGGACCCCTGCAGATATCCCAATTCATCATTTTATATAAAGTCTCTTATATAAAATGGTGTAGAATCTATATATAAACTATATACATTCTTTTGTATACTTCAAATCATCTTTAGATGGCTTAATATATAGTACAATATGAATGCTATGTAAGTACTCGCTACACTATATTGTTTAGGGAATATTGTTTAGTGACAAGAAAATATTCTTTACATGTTCAGTACAGACACAGCTTTTTCCCCAGACATTTCTGACTGGCAGTTGGTTGAATCTGAGCTTGAGGAACCCTCATCACAGAGGATACAGTGTCTAATCTCATTTGCAAGTGAAGAGTGAGTCTACTGACCTAAGATCACTCTCTCTCCTCTGCAAAAACATGCAGATTACAAAAACCAAGTTCAGAAGAGCCTAATTTCAACAAGTCTGTAAAGAAAAAGATTCTAAGGAAACATCAGAACCCAGCAACCACTGGGAGTCTGTGTCTCAGAGCTGCTGTCAGTGATGTTAGGTACCTGGAAAAGAGGACACAGTGGGCTTTACCAAGTTTGATGAGTTAGCTTTACTTAGAAACTACTCGCTTCATAGATTTCTTAGGACACAAGTACAAAAGAGCTTGTAGCATTCTGTGGATGGCCCATCTCTACTACTCTTAGCTCCACCTGTGTCCCTCCATATTTACCTGTGAAAAGAGGCAACAATTCCATCTGTTCTAAATTCTCAGGTTATCACCAGGACAAACAGAAATCTTCACAACTGCACTTAAAGCTATTTGATGAAACAAAACAAGTCAAGGAAACTAAGGCATTCTTATTTTAAAAAATGAAACAATCATATATCTACATAGGTAATAGTTGGTTTTAAAGTAGGTTTTCTAATCCCACCCAATGGGCCATCTATGTCTAGTTTATGTCTAGTTGCTTCCCAGGTTCAGAGGAGATTAAAATGACATGTAGCACGTGGTTGAGTGGAGTCTCTTGTCAGGATCTACACTCTGTTCAATTCTGCTGCTACTGTTCTCCATTTGTTCTTAAAGCAGCCAATAAATCAGCACGGAAGAAAATACTATATAAATCAAAATACATTTCTAAAATTAACCAAATGCTCTTCACTATACTCAAGGCAGTATTTTAAACCCATGGGTCTCAATTCTAAATTTCTACTGCAAAAGACGTGTGAAATTATTGAAAATTTTGGGAAGCAATATGTGTGTGTCTATATGCACATAAATGCACAATCTCTTCTAAATTATACTATCGTTTTTGCTTTGAAACAGTGCTTCAACATCATGAAAACATTAATAATTTCATTATACACACACACACACACACATACTAACTGAATCAAAAAACAAGAGAAATATATATTTCTCCCCTGATTTTCTAATGTAAATGCAGGGCAAGTCTAGAAGAATTTCAGGAAAAGCTTCCAGCAAAATCCATGGATGCACTGCTTAATGATAATGTTTGCTTCCTCATCCTCTAGTCCGGGTTATGTTCTTTCCTTGATTATTACAATTATCATGCTGTGTGTTTGCTTACATGGATAGTGAGTCCAGGTGAGAAGGGCTACACTGTGTTTTTTCTAATTGCCTTTCTGCCCCAGGATCTGGTAAATGGATGCTCTTCCATGTGGTGGTCTTGAGCAGCTAATTTATATACTGTATAAGGTTTTTGGAAACAGAGATGGATAAAGACAGGAGAGAGCAGCTGAACTCAGAAGGAGATCGGGTTGTAAGGAGAATGTGGGGGAACTGGATTCAGAGTAAATGCAAACATTTTATTTGGAAGAAGGGCATTTTTTTTTTTTTAATGTGAGATTGAACTCATTGAGCCACATCTCCAGCCCTTTCTTATATTTTATTTAGAGACAGGGTCTCTCTGAGTTGCTTAGGGCCTCATTAAATTGCGGAGGCTGACTTTGAACTCTGATCCTCCTGCCTCCACCTCCCAAGCCACTGGGAATACAGACATGCATCATCACACCTGGCTGAAGAAGGGAATTTCTGAACCTAATGCCTGTGGCCTCTTTATTTCCCCTCCAGATATTTATTGAGGACTTATCTTGGTCCAAACCTGGACTGATTGAAAATTATTCTTGTTCGGTAGGAAACAATTTAACTGTTCTGATTTGCATTTAAAGTCTGGCACTATTAAAGTGTGCAAATTTGCCTTTTTTGGCATCTAGATGCTTGGATGCCACCTTGAGGCTGTCTCTTCCTGAAAATAAATGCACAAGTGCTAGAATTCATTTTTTACACTTCCCCTGAATAGATCACATTTTTCAGTGTTAACAACAGGTCGTTTAACACAAAGGCAAAAACTACTTTCCAATATCTGACCTCCTTTCAGGCTTCCCAAGAGGCTGTTAAGAGGGTCATTGCTAGTGGCTGCAGGCAGCTTTATGTCCCTGCTTCTCACGCTCCACCCACCACACCTGTACACCTGCCCAGCTGACTGCCAGCAGCACTTGATCAAGAACTCCATTTCTTATTTATAGGGATGATTAGCTGTGTCTTCTGGTGACTGAGCAGCTTCAGAAATATGATTTTTAGCGGATGCAAATCTACCAGGAATTTTCATTCAATTTGAGCATGTAGAAATCAAAAGACAGCAGAGGTGAGGAGAGCAGGCAAAAGAGAGAGCATGGATTGTTAGAATACAAATGACCCCCATTTCAAACAAAAACTGCTCAGTGAAAAAGCTCTTTAAGGCTCTACTCCTCAAGCTTTCTAGCTCATAAAAAAGAATTTCACAAGGCCACTGATAAAAATCTAGGTTCATGAATACTATCTTAGAACCACTAAGTCAATCTTCAAAGGCAAGAGTCTGATACTCTCTGTTTTTAGTCAACTCTGGAAATTCTTTTGTCAGGCAAAGTGGGGTACCACTGATTTAAAATTCCTTCACCACAAATATAAAACATTAATTAATAATGATTTGAATACAGTGGGATTAATTCTAAAAGCTATTGCTTCTTAGAGTAAACATTTCAACAGAATTGGGCTTTAAAAACTTAAATCCCTGGTATTAGAATGTAAGATGTGACAATCGTGCCTATTCTAATCTGGCTGCTCATTAGATATGTACCCCCATATGCAAAGCAGTGGCCGTGCCCTATGGGGTCTTCCTTGCAAACAACATATACATGTTTTTTATGTCTGTTGCTGGACCCTAGTTCTAGTCCGTCACACCGCTCCATCTTAATGATGGGTTTTCCTGCCTGTGGCTACTGCCTGTGCTAATCCACTGCCTTCCCTCCTCTCCCTAGACCATGATAATATTCTAAAGCCCACTTTCATCAAAGGCTTTTCTTGATTAAAACAAACAGCAAACAATAAAAGTCACACACACACACACACACACCACCTTCCCTTCAATGGATGCCCACTGCCTAAGAATTAATTACAATGTTTCTGCTTGGTATTCAAAATCTCCTGAATGTGGCCCCAGCCTACCTTCCAGTTTGATCCCTAACTGCCTTACTACACGTAGCACATGTGCAGCTACGATAGACTTCTACCATTTCCCAAACATGGTTGGGGGTTTCTTGCTCCAGTTGCTCTGCCTGGTGTAAGTCCCCCACTTACTCATCCACACGGGCTCTCCTCTTCCAGGCCTATGTCATTTGCCTGTCCTCAGACACTCTTTCTACCATCGCCTCAATTCCACCAGACCCAGTATGTCCCATTTCTCCCACCACACCACATAGGTAATTCTACCCTCATTCTATGTGTTGGAAGCATGCTCCTTGAGGGCACAGTCTGTATCTTACAAGATTACCTATAAGTCTCTGGCACTGCTAGAAAGACCGTGGCCTTCAAGATCATGTGGCCGTGGGTCAAAAATTACATCTGCGATTTTCCAATTGAGAGACTTTCAAAGTGTTACCTAGCCTGTCTGAGATTTCTGCCCATTCCTTAGTATGGCAGTGAGGACAAGATCAACCTGGCAATGCTCCATTGAGGAATTAGACGTCTGTGAAGGTGTCTTCTTCACGTAGCTGCTTGATAGTGGCTCATCTCCTTGCCTTCCTTTCCTAATGCATATTTACTAGTTTTATTTTCACTTTAGCCAAAGCAGTCAGTATTTATGGATCCGTTATTAAGTTCCTAACTCTAGTTACTTCAGGTTTTTACATAAGTGCAAAAGTCCTTTTCTTACTTCTATGCTAGTTTCATTGAGATAGTTACCTTGACCTGAAAACTATGGAAAACACCAACCACAAAAGCCTATCTTTCCTAGTCAGTCATGTGCATTTTTAAAAAGAAACATTCTACTTAAGCTGTTATTCTGGAAAGCTCAGATTTCCCGGGCGATTCCTGATCCATTTTACACACAAGTTTCTAAAGGTAAATATCACCAAATATCTAGAAGCTGTATAAAGGTAGAGTTGAGCTAGAATGGTGATACACGGTCCCACAACAATGTGTCTGCAGGGATGAGGGGCAGCAGAAAACAGCAGGCAAGAGAGCTAAGAAAACCAGTTGCTGGTCACTGACTAATGGCCCTGCCTGTCATGCTAATTAAAAGTATTACTAACTCCTAGTTAAGTTTTATTAAAAACATGTTTATACCAATATGCTGAAGTTTTTGTACTGACATGATCAAATTTCATTTTTCTGGAATGGTTCAGGACCAGAGTAATTCTGGAAGTTTCCAGAAAGGGGCTGAAGGAAGGGAGCTGAGGCTTCGCAGTCCAACGCTGTTTTTTGGACAGTAAAAGGGGTGAATTGAGTGAGGAGGGACCTGAGATGGTGAAGGATGAGACAGGGTGGTAGGTGTGGGGGTTAGGCTCCCACCTACTTCCCTTTCTTAAAAACCCTGAGCTCTATCACCTTGGTTTAAACAATTAGGAAAGTTGTCGGAAGGGGAGAAAAATGCAAATTCTCTTTTAGTTCCCAGAACTGGAAATAGAAACCTAAAAATCTTGGAGAATAATTTTCTTTTAACAATTACTAAGTAGAGAAGAAATCAGAGAGAAATTTCTTAAATCCACTAAATCTGAATTTAGATGAATTATTATAGGTTGCACATCCCTAGTCCAGAAGTCTGACTATGAAATGCTCCAAAATCCAAAACTTTTTGAGTGCCAACATGATGCTACAAGTAGAAAATTTCTCACCTGAATTCATGTGGTAGGTTGCAGTCAAAATGAAGACACACTAAATGTATAAAATTACCTTCAGGCTCTGTGTGTAAGATGGACATGAAACATAAATGAATGTTGTGTTTAGACTTGTGTCTGATCTCCAAGATAGCTCATAATGTATATGTAAATAATCCAAAATCTGAAAACAATCTAAACTCCAAAAAACCTTGGATCCAAATATTTTGGAGAAGAGATATTCCATCTATATTTACTCAGAATAACTTTGATGACATTTGTTATTCTAAAATTTCAAAATTTTCATCTAATATAGGAGTTGTTGAAACAGTAATACTGACAGTTTCTTTGTTCAGGGGTTGCTAGGCTTCATTCAAAGTATTATTCAAAACTCACATGTAGGTTTAATTAAAGGTGTAAGAAGAAAAAAAAAAAAAAAAAAAGCAATCCAAAACAGGGTGAAGTATGGAAGTAGAGATATTTTACACATAACATCCACATCCCAAATATTAGCTTGTTATGCAATATTGTCAATTCTTGCTTCTTTCTAAAAAAGAAGAATAAGCCAGAACAGTGGGAACGATGATCATCTAATGCCATGGAAAGCTTTTCATTCATTCAGGAAATATTTGAGCCCCTACTATGTGATGGTACTGGAGGTGCAAAGAGCAACAAGAGACACTCTCTTCCTTTGAGAAACTCATTGTCTAGTGGAGAATATAGACAAGCAACCAGATGTTTATAAATGACTGTGTTAATGGCAATGATAAGGGGGAGCCCTGGGTCCTATGTGAGTGCCAGGGAGCCTCCGCCAGGGGGCGTCGGGGGAGAGCACTGGGGTGCCAGTAGTTCCCACCAGGGAGGCAGAGAGGGAGCAGGTTCTAGGGACAGAACTATCACAGAGATGCCTACCTATCCCTATCTATCTATCTATCTATCTATCTTGCTGCATTAACTTTGGGCATCAAACTACACCTGCCTTTCTCCAACTACCCTGATAAACTTTGGACTCTGAGATGTCCCTTTGCACCAGTGAAGCAAATTATCACTTATTCGCAACTTCAAGTAACCTCCAGATCCTTTAGATGACTTTCACTTTTCTTTGTCCTGGATATTTTTAAGTAACAGGTAAAAATATCTGTTCTCAGACCTGAAAGAGATAAAAATGTTTGCCCTGAGG